GTGCCCAAGATCCCGAGAGGAGAATGGAGGAGAAGGGATTGCGGCATGGCCATCCCCACTGGGTGTGTGTGTGTGTGTGATTTCTTGCTTTCTGTCTCTCCAGTGAACACATGTGCTTTATGACAAGAAAAAAAAATCTCAATTAAAAAAAAAACCTATCAGCTTATGCCAGACTTGGAATAGATAGTGGTTTTTGTGTTAGCTTATCCTCAGAATGGTGACAGGTTGAAAAGATAAATGCTTACAGGTGATTCTCTTTAGCAGCCCAACCTGTGGCTTGGCTGTTGTAACATAACAAATTTCCAGGAGATGGCACCAGAGGTCCAAGGCCAATCATCCGCTCTGAGGTCCAAGGCCAATCATCCGCTCTGACTTTTTCTATTGAGGGTCTTAAGGTGTGTCCATCATCCAGAAAGTAAATAAGGGGTCCATAATATTTGGAAAAAATATCTTTGTTTTCTAATAACCTAAATGAGATCATTACACATACAGGAAGAAAGTATACACATGGAAGGAAAAATAAAGTAGTAAGTACCACCAGCCATCTTTACAAGAACCATGCCATCTTTTTCATCTCTGATTTTATTCGGGCATTCTTCTTATCTTTTCAGAAAAACTTCGTTTCATGTTTTGTTTGTTTGGCTATAGGGCTTGTGCTCAACAGAGAGAGAGAGAAGTAAGGCAAGAAACACCCCCCAGGGTGGATGGTCACACTGCAATCCATCCTCCTCCATTCTCCTCTGGGATTTTGAGCCAACAAAGATTACTATCTGAGAGAAAAAAGAAGGTAGGGAAGCTTGGTGATATGACAAAAGGGAAGCTGATTGGAGACAGTCACATGGATGGCCTTGGATATTTCAGTTTAAGTCAGAAGGCTGAGGGTGACCAGGGCAGTGGACCAAAGAGCACTTAGTAACAACTACAGAAGCCACATGTTAAGAGGCTACACACAGGAGCTGTTGAACCGTAGATTCAAGTTCTTTGCACAGGAGTTTTCATACTGATCATGAGCCAGAAGTAGTTATCATAGTCTCTTCTACTGTATATAGCTTAGCCTTTTCGTGATGCATTTATAGCCAACATGTCAGTCCAGGTGATATTTACTCATTTAAATAAGAGCAATCATGGTATCCTCAGGTGTTTAATACCAAGTAATTGTCATGTATGGTTTTAATTCAAGAGCCTTTGATCCTTATCCTCCTCCATCCCCTTTTGTCTTTGACCTTTTTGTTTCTGTCTTTCTGTCTTTTTACCCCTTGTCTAGAAACTTTGCTTACAAGGTCTCTAAGGCATGAGTTAAGATTTGATGATAAACCACATTCTGTATAGAACAGTTTAGAAGAAAAACGGCACTGTTCAGAAGGTACTATTTACCCAGGATGGTTTTTTCAATTATTTTTTTCTTGAAGATTTTTGCTATAGGGCGTGTGTGCTCACCATTCTTGTCTCAGGATTTTGGACACACACGTGCCTGGCATGAGTCTAAGCCACTGACTGGGTCAGGGACTCCAACTGTGGTCGACTACGTGGTAGTCCAGCGATGTAACCATTATGTCATCTGCTAGTCCCGATTTTTTTAAAACACTCTATTATTTTATAATAATAAAGAATGTGTGGTACCAGCAGTTGGTGTAATGGCTATGTCGCTGGACTCCCATGTAGTCAACCACGATTCGAGTCCTGGACCTGTGGCTTAAACTCATGCCAGGCGCATGTGCCTGCATGCCCAAGATCACGAGAGAAGGGATTGCAGCGTGGCCATCCCCCACTGGGGAGTGATTTCTCGCTTTCTGTCTGTCCCACTGACTTTCTGGCAAGCGCACGTGCCCTACAGCAGAAACCTCTAAAAAAAAAAGATAAAAAGAATGTAGAGAGGGAACCTGGTCACGCCGCAATCCCTTCTCCTCCATTCTCCTCTCGGGATCTTGGGCACGCACGCACACGCGCCCGGCGTGAGATTTAAGCCACCGGGTCCGGGACACGAACCGCGGTCGACTACGTGGGAGTCCAGCGACATAGCCATTACGCTAACTGCTGGTTCCCAAAATTTAATGTATTCTTCTGGCTGCTTATTTGCTATTTAGAATTACAGACATTTGGAATTTTCTCTTCCTTATCTTAACCTGAAAAAAAAGAATGTGGAGATAATGAAAGTGTTATTAATCTTTTGTCTACTTCTAAATAAACAAAATGCTCCCTAAAAAAGGGAATTACCTATAGACCACAGGAATAAATGACTACATACTGACTGTTTTACTGTAAGAAATACCTTTACTTTGACCCAGTGAACCAAGGAGCCTTTGATATAACAATTCTTCACCTTCTCTTTTACAAGTAAAGGAATAAATATGCTCTTGAAAGCAGAACACAAAAAAGAGGTGGAGAGACCTTTAAATGTTTGGGGAAAATATGGGGCTGACAATTCAAATATAAAGTCAGGCTTAGTTTTGCTTTAAGACAGTGGTTTTATTGCTTGCATAATAGTATACGTGGGAAAGTAGCTTTTAAAAATCTAGTAGAAAGTGGTAGAAATTTTTGGCAATTTTTGTTCTTAATTAGGCAAAGCTTTCACATTAGAAAAAATAAGTTCCTTTTATAGCTCTAAATTAATAAATACAATAATCATTTCATAATATAGATTCAGTGTTGCATTTCATTTTAATAGAATTAAATCCACAAGTAGTATAAAATGGGATTCATGTATATATTAGCAAGATATAGGTAATAATCATTATGTATATATTAGCAAGGTAAGGTAATAATCATTGCTATTACCACTAAAAAACAACTTTAAAGAAATTAATTTCTGTCTAACTTAAGAGGACTCCTTCATAGCCTAAAGAAATAAAGTGTAACTCAAATTTTTAACAGGTGAGTTATGAAAAGAAAATGTATAAATTAAAATGTATTTTTAACAAGTTCAAAATATACTTATTAAATATAAAGATGCTGGCTCTGGTACATAAGAAAATATTTACAACTAATAAAAAGCAGATTGTAGAATATACATGTTCTGTGTATAAAAATAAGTAAAATGTTTTTTAGTCCAGACCCAGGGATCTCTTCTAAGCAGGTTTTGTCCATGCAGCTGTTACGGTTCCATCCTATTAGCGTTACCAGAACACACACATGCATGGAAGAAGTCTAACAGTCATCTTGATTCAAAGCTCATACTGTCTTCTTAGGGTCTGTACATCTGCTAAAGTAAAGTGGTTGTTTGATGTGTCTGAAAGGTCATCAAATAGCTGTTCAATTTGCTGCCTTTGGCTCTCACTAATTAGTGTCAACATCATCTGAAAGAAGGGAAAAAATTATATTAGCATAGGTAACATTTTGAAGTTATTGAAACCCGAAAAACCAATCTCTATTAATAAAATACTCTGCCACTTACCTTAAACCTTTCTGCGTTACTCAGGTATAAAAGATGCTGATATACCAGTGAGGGATCTTTATCAATAAGATTATTTTTCAGAGACTGAATGAGGAGGAGGAATGTATCCCCTTCAAGTTTGTTACTCAAGAACATTGGCAAATCTTTGGGTGCAGTGATAGCTAAAAGGTGTGCACACGCTTCTACATCTTTCTTAGTATTGATAGCATTTATAACCTGACCAAATTCATAGGCATTAGTAGGCTTGGAGATGTGAAGTTTTTCAGAGTATTCTGGTGGCTCATGGTTTTCGTCTGTCTTCTCAGAAGCAAGGCAGTCGATGGAAACTTCCTCTGAGGTTCTTTCAGGCTCCTCTTCATTGTCTTCATTCACCTTCATGAGGAAAAAAAATTACACTGTTGACAGTGAATGACATAAACATCCCTGTTACATTTGTCAAAATGGGAAATGAAACCACAAGTGTTCCAGTCAAGTTCTAAGTGAAAAATCTGTAATTTGTAATAGATTTCAAAATTTGTATTTGCTTTAGGGTATAAGAATTAATACTCTGTAAAATTTTGGGACCAGCAGTTAGCATAATGGTTATGTTGCTGGACTCCCATGTAGTCGACCACGGTTCGAGTCCCAGACCCAGTGGCTTAAACTCATGCCAGGTGCATTTGTGTGCGTGCCCCAGATCCTGACGAGAGAACGGAGAAGGGACTGCGGCATGGCCATCCTCCCTGGGGGGTGATTTCTCGCTTTCTGTCTCTGTGTCTCTCTCAGCCTGGCGAGCACACGTGCCCTATAGCAAAAACCTCTCCAAAAAAAAAAAATTCTGTAAAATTTTAATATGATAAAATTTCATTTTTATAACTTTATGTGAATAACAGTGTTGACAAAGAGCTTTGACAATGTTTATCTCTTATTTTTATTAGAAGTGAACTTTTTCAATTCTTTTACAAGTTTTTTTTCTTTCTTCCTTTAAAGGGGAAAAAACTCCCTAGCTTCTCATTTATTAGCCTCTCAGTAGAAATATAAGACCATAAAATGGAACATTAGCATTCATGAATGAATGGCCTGACATTATTCAAAAATGGCAAAGCAGAATATTTGAGTTATCTGAGGCAATAAAGGCCCTGAGGTAGTCCAAGATCTCTGATGAGGCCTCTTACTTTGAAGTGCTAAAAACATCTGAGTCAATCCAGAAAATCTCCATGGAGTGTGGCCTGCAGGGCTTCCTGAATGTGAATCAGTCCTGTCGGGATTTTCCAAGTCTACCCCGAAGGAAAAGTTCCACAGCCATCCACTCCCAGTGCATTCTGGAGTGGAAGCAGCTCAAATCATAGGCCAGATGGAGGGTGGGAAGAACAAAAAGGAAGGAAGCAAAGAAGGAAGAACGGTAATGCACAGACTCCCAGTACCATCATGGACCCCTGCTGAGAAATATAATGGCTAATTATCAGTGCAAAGAAGTTTTATCCTTCTAACTGGTTGAAATAATCATCAGAATAAAAACAAAAAATGCTCATAGAATTCATAGAAATATGACCTCAGCATCCAATATAACATCCCCAAAGAGTACTTTCAAAGATAAAAACAGGCCCAGCCATGGTGGCATAAGCAGCAGGTTGCTGCTGTGTGATGTGTGGAGTCCTGGCTTCAATTTCTAGAAGGACTATCCAGACTGGGCCCAGCAACATGTGCCTACACTCCTAGCGAATCAGGAGGCTGAGCAGGAGGAGCAGACATGACGAGATCCTGTCAAATAATGCTCGCTGGCTCTCTCATTAAAATAATGAAGACCACTGGGGCCAGCACATGGCATAGCGGTTACATCGCTGGACTCCCACATGGCTGACTTGTTCAAGTCCCGGACCCAGTGACTTCAAAATTACACAGGATGTGTGTGCATGCATGTGCCCAAGATCCTGAGAGGAGAATGGAAGAGAAGGGACTGTGGTGTGGCCATCCTCCAGGGGCGGTGTGTGTGTGTTTGTGTGTGTGTGTGATTTCTCACTTTCCCTCTCAGTCTCTGTCTCTCTGGTGAGCACATGTGCCCTAAGGCAAAAAACTCTTAAAAAATAATAATGAAGACCATCAAAACCAGATACCTCTTCGATCTCAATTTTCCTTCTCTCCTTTTCTTTGTTGAATGATGCTGTACTCTCTCTACTGTTGAGGAATCTGGTTACCTCTTCCAGTTCCATCTTTGCTTCAACAATACTTGGGTCTAGTAGGAGAACTTTATTGAGATCTATTAAGCTTTTCTGGTAATTCTGAAAATAGGAAGACAGAAAATATTTCTCATAAAAGAAGGGGTCTAGAGATTATAACCCATAATACAGTGAACATCCACTAAAGGAAGAGCCAGAGACTCTGGAGTGACAAAACTCAAATTCATTTTTTTATCACCACAACTTTCCAGTCTTGAATACATGTAGGAACTTGTATGCTGTGGAGTGTGGCCTGCAGGGCTTCCTGAATGTGAATCAGTCCTGTCGGGATTTTCCAAGTCTACCCCGAAGGAAAAGTTCCACAGCCATCCACTCCCAGTGCATTCTGGAGTGGAAGCAGCTCAAATCATAGGCCAGATGGAGGGTGGGAAGAACAAAAAGGAAGGAAGCAAAGAAGGAAGAACGGTAATGCACAGACTCCCAGTACCATCATGGACCCCTGCTGAGAAATATAATGGCTAATTATCAGTGCAAAGAAGTTTTATCCTTCTAACTGGTTGAAATAATCATCAGAATAAAAACAAAAAATGCTCATAGAATTCATAGAAATATGACCTCAGCATCCAATATAACATCCCCAAAGAGTACTTTCAAAGATAAAAACAGGCCCAGCCATGGTGGCATAAGCAGCAGGTTGCTGCTGTGTGATGTGTGGAGTCCTGGCTTCAATTTCTAGAAGGACTATCCAGACTGGGCCCAGCAACATGTGCCTACACTCCTAGCGAATCAGGAGGCTGAGCAGGAGGAGCAGACATGACGAGATCCTGTCAAATAATGCTCGCTGGCTCTCTCATTAAAATAATGAAGACCACTGGGGCCAGCACATGGCATAGCGGTTACATCGCTGGACTCCCACATGGCTGACTTGTTCAAGTCCCGGACCCAGTGACTTCAAAATTACACAGGATGTGTGTGCATGCATGTGCCCAAGATCCTGAGAGGAGAATGGAAGAGAAGGGACTGTGGTGTGGCCATCCTCCAGGGGCGGTGTGTGTGTGTTTGTGTGTGTGTGTGATTTCTCACTTTCCCTCTCAGTCTCTGTCTCTCTGGTGAGCACATGTGCCCTAAGGCAAAAAAAAAAAAAAAAAAAAAAAAAAAAAACTCTTAAAAAATAATAATGAAGACCATCAAAACCAGATACCTCTTCGATCTCAATTTTCCTTCTCTCCTTTTCTTTGTTGAATGATGCTGTACTCTCTCTACTGTTGAGGAATCTGGTTACCTCTTCCAGTTCCATCTTTGCTTCAACAATACTTGGGTCTAGTAGGAGAACTTTATTGAGATCTATTAAGCTTTTCTGGTAATTCTGAAAATAGGAAGACAGAAAATATTTCTCATAAAAGAAGGGGTCTAGAGATTATAACCCATAATACAGTGAACATCCACTAAAGGAAGAGCCAGAGACTCTGGAGTGACAAAACTCAAATTCATTTTTTTATCACCACAACTTTCCAGTCTTGAATACATGTAGGAACTTGTATGCTGAATGAGTAGAATGAACAGCCTTGAAAGAGAACCTACTAGCAGTAAAACTTAAACAAGAAAGATCCTACTTAACTTTCCTGAGCTTCAGTTTTCTCAACTTTAAGGGTAATGAAAGCTCTAGTCTAATTTTCACCAGGCTGTATCAAGGAATAAATTAATTAATACATGAGGGGTTTAAATTTATAAAGGGTTATACAAATGGTAGTTATTAATATGCTTATATAAGACCCTTCCAAGTTGTTTTACTATTCAAAATAGACTAGTGTCCACTAAGGTAACACACTGGAGATGAGGGGAAAGAAAAAGAGTTTAAGATTAGTAAGACTTGGCTACCAATCTGGCAGCAAAGACAGAAGTCACAGAATCATGGTCCACTGTGACAGGCCATGTTCTAGCACTACAGAATAGACCCATGTGGTGATTAAACCAAATTCCAAGGAGGCAAAGAACTGCAATGACATGTAATCTCTCGAAGTACTCATGACACGTCAATACAGCACGCACTGGAGGCTGAGCCACAGATAAGATAAGCTAGTGGGTAGGTCGGTTGTGTAACATTCCCTGGTTGGGTGCGGGGGTGGTGAGGGGGAGGAGGTTGCTAGCTACAATGCTACACCCCTTCTCCCTATCCTCAGTAATACACCAGAGCAAGAGTGAAATATTGAAGCAACAAGTTGGGGACTGAAAGTGTCCTAATCCTACATGTGAATATATGAACTTCTCTCACATGTAGGATTGAATGCAACCCATGTAAGGCCCCTAAGCCAGATGGCCCAGGAAGGGGACCAGAAGGTGCTCATATGGGGGGTAACCATGGAGATGATTCTCACATTGGCTATGACCAGGGAGGGTATCAGGGTCATGGCAAGGACTGGGGGTGATTCTGAAGGGACCAGGGTGGTGGGGACCGGGGTGGCTTTGGCCGAGCAAGATGGACTCCAGGAGTGATCAGCAGACAGGATTGCCAGTAGAAAGAGTATTAGCCTGGCTCCTGAGGTCCTAGAACAGCTTTTCTTCCTGTACCCAGTATTATTTTATAACCTTCAACTCCTTATCACCCACTGGGGGTTTTTTGTGTCGGACCACGTAATGCCTCTGGATGCCATTAAAAACCATTGTTTAAAAAAACTAAATAAAAGGATAACCTTTAATTTATAAAAATTATGTACAAAATAAATAATGCTTACCATTCTAAGCATTTTACTCTCACAAAAGCCCTATATGTACTAGTTTTTATTGTCCTCATTTTTAAAACAAGGAAACTGAGGCATAGAAAGCAATCTTTGGCATGACCACAGCAGCAATGACAAAGGGTGGACGATAGTACAGTGAGCTGCTCAAGTGAGAGGCCTGAAAATGTAGAAATGTAGACTAGGGAGTTCTTGCACTGGAAAAGGAACTGCAACACCACAGTAAATATGGTTGTTCCCATGCACTCAAGAAAGTCTGCCTAAACAGCAATCTGTGTGGTTGGAGGAGACCTAAAAAGACAGGAAATGCATGTTGTTAACACAGAGGCAAGTGTGAAGACAAGGCAAGAAAGCAGGAAGGGCTGGGATGGCATCCCTTGAGAAAGGGTTCACTGGCCTCACAAATGGTCACTGAGCACTGTACCAGGAGCTGGTAGTACCATGGCAGAAAAGTCAGGCTTGGGTCCTGCCCTATGGAAGCCTATATGCTATGAGGAGAAATAACAAAAATAGACAGCAATGAAGTTAACAAATGAATAATTACGGGCTGTCATTAGTACAACTAAGAAAATTGAGGATTGAGATGGATACTAACCAGAGAGGAATCTTCTTTTGCTACGTCATCAGAGAAATCAAGAACCAAGCAGAATGGAGAAAAGAGCAGAGCTTATACAAAGATAAAGTATGGCTTGGCAAAAGAGAATATTCAAAGTTGCTAAAAGAGTCAATCCCATGGCTAACTGCAAGGTTCAAATCCTGAACTGGTGGCTCAAAAAGCATACTGTACATGTGTGCATGCATGTCCTAATCTGCAGAAATGGAGAAGGGATTATGTGACCACACCCTATTGGGGGTGCTTTCTCTCTCACTGTGGATCTCTGGCAAGGACACGCACCTTCTGACAAATATAAATATATTAAAAAAAAGTTACTAACAACCACATTAGACCTTAAAACAAGATAAAGTACAATCACATGTGACTGTGATAACATTTACTCGTAATAGTTATGCTTAAACTATAAATACCATAATTATAAGATTGTCTTTTGATAATTTTGGCCTTGTAGCATCCCCTACTGGCTGTAAATTCCTTAAATGTAGGCACCATGTCATGCACCTCTATACTACCAATGCTTACCTAGCACTCAGCAGTAGGAATAAATTGTAAATAAAAGCAAAGTATTCAGTTATCTTTTCTTGGGAGCTGTACATTAAGGAAAGCCCATATTTTTAAAAATTGGCACCAAAAACAAACAAAACAAAAACCATTTAAACTAGCTACAAAAAAAAGATGGGACCAGCAGTTGGCGTAATGTCTGTTTTGCTGGACTCCCATGTAGTCGACTGCGGTTCGAGTCCTGGACCCGGTGGTTTAAACTCACGTCGGGTGCGTGTGTGTGCCCAAGATTCCGAGAGGAGAATGGAGGAGAAGGGATTGCAGCATGGCCATCCTCCCTGGGGGGTGATTTCTCACTTTCTGTCTCTCTGTCTCTCTCTCTCTGGCAAGCACATGTGCCCTATATCAAAAATCTCTCTACAAAATAAAAATAAAATAAAAAATAAAAATAAAGGAAACAAGAGAGCGGAGTGTTCAACTGGGAGCTATAGGTAAGGTGCCTGCTGGGACCGTGAACCCCTGTGCTACTTCCTCATTACAGTCACACTGAGCACACGGGCCCAGGTGGGAGGGCTGACACACTTTATAAACAGCTGTAGCCTTTGAAGATCCTGAAATTAAATCCACTTGTTACAGACCTCAAACTACTGGATAAATGTATAAATCAAGATATACAGAGTCAAACCAGAAAAACAAGCTACCAATCTCACAATTAATGGGATAGGATTACTCATTTGGGATTCTCTTTCTGTGTCATTACACAATTTCTAGAATTCATTCCAAGGAAGTATGAAATGCCAGCCTCATTAGGTACATCTTCCGACCTTCAGTTAGCTAAACAGGTTCGGAGTTGGGCAGCCAGGATGAGGGAAACCTGTTCTAAGAGCTTGGTCAGATAGAAATCCCTGAGTCATGCAGAACTGCCCTCATTTGCCCTTATCCTTTGAAGTTCAAAGAGCTGAATACAATGTGAAGGAGTCTCTCTAAGTTATGGTGCCACACACCATCTAGGGAAATCTTAACATGAGGTTTATAAATGTTTGTTTTTGCTCAACAACAACAAAAGGGAGGTAGGTTATGATTGTACAGCAGCAACAGTGTCCTGGTAAGAACGCGGGCATGCCCCTCACTGCCTGAGTGGATCTGATGTAGGGGAGCCGCATCATTCCGTGCATAAAGACAGGCCTCATTTGACGCCCTCTGCAGTCTGATCGCTCCTCCCAACAAAACCTAGAATTTCCCTGTCAGTGATGGGCCTCGAACTAAAAGAACTACCTCTCTGCCACTCCTCAACCTGTCCCTTCTTTATAACCTCCATGATCACACTGCACCACTCAATCACCCTAGCCAGAAACCTGGGAGGTGTCCCCTCCAGTCCTCCCCCAGTTCACTACAGTCCCACAAACAACCTTAAGTTACCCCTTAAGGCTGAATTGTGACTACCCAAAAAATAATGCTAAAGTTCTAACTCATAGTACCTCAGAATATGACTGTATTTGGAGATGGCTCTTTAAAAAGGTAAGCAAGTCAAAATTCATGTGTGGATGCTAATCCAGTATGACTACTGTCCTTAAAAGAAGAGGCAACTTGAACACAGACACACACACAGAGGAAAGAACAGTTGAAGACCAGAGAGAAGATGGTCCTCTACCGAGAGGCCTCAGGAGAAACCAACCCTGCTGACACCTTGACCTCAGACTTTGAGCCTCCAGAGCTGAGAGAACAAATGTCTGCTGTTTAAGCAACGCAGTCTGTGGTCTGCGGTACTGTTACAGCAACCTACAAACTAACATGTCTTCCCTCTTCTCTCTGCCATATCTTCCTTCAGGCATCTGCTTCTCATTCTGATGGCCTCTCACGTACCTTCCTGCTCTATGCTGCACCCTTTCTGAACCATCTTCCATGTTGTCCTCTAATCTAATCCATCATGCCACCATTTATCCACCCCCTTCGGGGCTTCCATCACCTTCAGGGTCAAGTCTAGCCACCTCAGCATGGCCTACCAGGTCCTTCAAACTTACAATACTCCTTAGAGAATAAATCCTAAGTTTTGAGCTGGAAGAAATAATAGAAATTATCTAGTTCTTCATCATAGTTAGGGATGAGATCTGAGTATCTGACTCTCCATCTCCATTCCCACCTGCACCTGGCCTGCAACTATACAGTTTGTGAACAAGTTATTAAAAAAGTGTGCACAAGAATGTCATAGTAGCTTTACTTTTTTTTTTTTTTTTGAGAGGTTTTTGCTATAGGACACATGCGCTCGCCAGACGGATGGAGACAGAGAGACAGAAAACGAGAAATCACCCCCCAGGGGGGATGGCCACGCTGCAATCCCTTCTCCTCCGTTCTCCTGTCGGGATCTTAGGCACGCACGCACATGTGCCTGGCGTGAGTCCGGGTCCAGGATGCGAACCACGGTAGACTACATGGGAGTCCAGCGACATAGCCATTACGCTAACTGCTGGTCCCTATAGTAGTTTTTTGTATGCTTACTATGTTTTCCTTTGTATCTATTTTCCATTCAGGTAAAATTCTTCAGAACCCCTCTTTTCATCAGAGAAGCGTGCAGATTGTCTTTGGTCATGCTCTCTGATGACATGTCCTGGTCAGTTCAAGTACCAGCTCATGATTCCCATTTTCTTGGCAGTAGTTTCAATTTTGGCTTTCATACACCAGTCATATTTCCAAAATAAATTTGGGGAACAATTTAAGGGTTGCTGTTGTGTGCTGCCAAATAAGGACATTAAAAAACCTTACCACTTTGTATGCTCTCGTAACATATTAGCACCAAAACTATAAAGGAAAATGAACTCCAGAATTTAATAAAAGGCATAAATCGAGCCTTATGGAAAAGTAAATGTATTGCCTCTGTTTTCTCCTGTTGATGTAGATTTGTGAAAATTCTGCCTCGGGCAGCCTGGCATCAGCTGTAGACCAACCCTGGTTGAGGTACCTACCTCTCCTTGTCTGCCCCTCCCTACCCCACACCTTTCCTGCACAATCTCTTTCTTGGAGTTGTTCTCTCGGTTGGAGAGATGTGACCCCTTGCAATCCAGTATGGGCAATTGTTTGAAAAGGTACCTGGAACTTGTTTTAATTAGGTATAGTAAGACACAGATATGGAAATAACTGTTATGAAAGAAGAAGCTTATACTCATAGAGCCCTCGAAACAGAGGCAAGACATACAGGGCCCAGGGTGAGGCCCTGGGGTTGGTCAGGAGGAAAAGGGAATGAGTAAAAATGTGAGCAAGGACCTTTCTTGTGGGTTCCAGGAACACATAGGAGAGGCAGGATAAACAAGTTTAGGTTGGCTAATTTGGATAATTTTGGTGAATCCAGGAGCATAGAGGATGTCCCTCCTTGTCTGGTACCTTGATTAGGGCAAATGGACAGTGGCTGTGAGTTTAAAGGCAAAAACTAACTACCTCCCCTACCCCCACAAAATAAAGCTTCATAAAGAAGGAAGATGGGGTATGGGTCCTCTGTTTGGTTGTTTTGAATATGAAAGGCATGCTCAGGGCCACCCTGTGGTGTGCTGGTTAAGATGGCTGGATCCTACGTGTCCAATTGCTTGGTTTGTGTCCAGGACCCAGTGGCTTGAGAAGTGTGCCTTGTGCATGTACATGTCCAAAATCCCGAAAGGAGGAGATGGAGAAGGAATTGTGGCGTGACCATGCTCCATGGTGGGGTGCTTTCTTACTTTTCCTCTCTGTCTCTCTCCCTTTGTTGGTACATGTGCATGCATGCCCCAAATCCCGAGGGATTATGGCATGACCATCCTCCATGGTGGGTGGGTGTGCTTTCTCACTGTCTGTCTCTCCCAATCTATTCCCAGCAAGCATGCATGCCCTACAGCAAATTTAAAACAAAACTAAACTAAACAAGGTCATGATTAATATGGCAGTACTAGCTGGCAATAGTAGACATAAAATTAATACAAGATTATGGCTTAGGTGTCTGTGGTTTAAGTTTTCCAAACTATTGAGAACATTCACATCGTCATTAATTTTTTTAGTTGGAATGCTGTGTCTGCAGCTGCTGGACAAATTATTGCCTTTTATTATTCTTTTTAGAAATTTTTGCTATAGGTAGGTACATGCACTGGCCGGAGAGAGAGAGAGACAGAGAAACAGAAAGTGAGAAATCACCCCCCAGGGGAGATGGCCACACTGCAGTCTCTTCTCCATTCTTCTCTTGAGATCTTGGGCACGCATATGCACATGCCTGGGATGAGGTTAAGCTGCTGGGTCCAGGACTCAAATCGTAGTGTACTATGTGGGAGTCCAGCAACATAACCATTATACCATCTGCTGGTCCTGCCTTTTTAAATCTGTAAACCTGTAATCTTTTCAGAACTTGCTGTATGTTCAGAGTTATAGCCAGCCACATCACTAAAACCAATAGACCTTTTTTTTAGAGATTTTCACTGTAGGGTGCGTGCGCTCGCCAGACAGACAAAGAGAGACATAGAGACAGAAAGCGAGAAATCACCCCCCAGGGGGGATGGTCACGCCGCAATCCCTTCTCCTCCATTCTCCTCTCGGGATCTTGGGCACACACGCACACGCGCCCGGCGTGAGTTTTAAGCCACCGGGTCCGGGACACGAACTGCGGTTGACTACGTGGGAGTCCAGTGACATAGCCATTACGCTAACTGCTGGTTCCCCCTATAGTAGCTTTAATCTTAACAGCCTCTAAAACTGGAAACAACCTAAGTGTCATCAACTGTGGACTATATGGACAGGTTGTGGCATTTTCATATAACTCACTGATAAAAGAACAATTAATGACACACAATATGCATGAATCTCAGGTTATGCTGAGTGAAAGAAGCCGAAGAGAAGATCCATACGGTTATACTTATGGTAACGTCAAAAAGAAGCCAAACTAATCCATAGTAACAGATATTAGATGAATGGTTGCCTGGGTTTAGGGGTGGAAAGAGGGAGATTGATTGCAAAGGGGCACAGGGAACTTTCTAGGGAGATGGGAATGTTATCTTAATTAGGATGGTCGCTATAGGGGGATATACATTTGTCAAAAATCAATGACCTGCACACTTACAATGTGTGAATTTCATTTGTCTTAGACTTTAATTTTAAAAACCATACTAGGAAATGCCATTTCCAGTATGTTCTGGTTTTCCCTTGTGATGTTATTTTCTATGTGAGCATTTATTCATCAAGATTTCTATGCAGAATAATCTGCATAAAGAAAAATGTTAACGACACAATACCCTCCTTCTTCTACACTAATGGTGTGGTTTTCTTAGAGAAGAATGCCATTGTACAGTCCCATGCTCACCATTGGCTGGCATAAAGCCCAGATCACTATAAGCATCCAACTCTGATAGGTTTCTATCAACCTCCACCGGGTGACCTCTTCCATTCTGATGCCTTCCCTCACCCCACCTCCAACCCCAATCCTCACTGAAGGACCAGTGGCACTGTTGGTGGCTTTCAGTAATTCACTAATAAATCTTCCTTGTTCCTTAAGGTTCTTTACACTTACAGTACTCCTTAGGAAATTAGAGAAATCATAAGTTTTGAGCTGGAAGAAATAATAGAAATTATCTAGTTCTGCATTATAGTTAGGGATGAGATATGAAGTCTATTCTAATATTTTAGAATTCATTAATTTAGTACTAAGATTCAATCCCAGGATAATCTCACTGCCATCCCATGATCCTGAGATTTATGTTCATGAAAACTACTCGATCTGTTCAGAACTGAAATATATACATTAAATGAAGACTTCCTCACCTTGAGCCCTTTATGAGCGAGAGCTCGTCTGTAGCATGCTTTCACGTTCCCGTCATCTATCAGGAGGGCTTGATCACAGTCCTGCTTTGCCTCTTCAAACTGGCACAGCTTCAAGTAACACAGAGCTCTGACAAATGCAAGGGAACTCAGTATGATGGGAGGATAGCAAATCTGTAACTGTGTACAGCCAATAAAAATCAAAAAAAAAGATCCATGTTTGTCCATCACAGCTGTTTCAAATGAAATTTAACGTGACTCCAATTTGACACACACTTGCAGGGCATGAGATTATGACACTGGGTAAACAACTAAACACAGTGCCGTCCGTGCCTTCAAGGAAGATGAGGTCTAGAGTAGACACAATTCATACCAGCAAACGCTGGGCCGGCTGGGTGGCACAGCGGTAAGAGGCAGTTTGGGTAATGCTGGCTCCATATGAGAGGTCACAGGTTCATTTCCCTGGGCCCACCTGTATACAAGGTCCAGGGAGGGCTCATGGCACGAGGCCCTGTTTGGGATGGTTGCCTTTCTCTCATCTCTCATTCTCATGAAAGAAAAACACTGAAGAAGCAAACACATCTTTACAAGGTGCTTTAGGAGCACAGAGCTGAGAACCACATCAGATCTGATGGATTGAGGCTAGGGGTGCAGCAGCCAGGGAAGACTCTGCAGAGTAACACTTATGTTGGAACCCAGAGTACAAAGTGAGAGTTATCAAACACAAAGGGCCTGGGTTGAGAGAGTTAAGATGGAAAGGGGAAGAGTAGAGGCTGAGGGCACAGCATATGCTCAGATTCATAGTGGGAGAGAACATGGCACTTGGTCGAAGTTCCATATGGCTGAGGTGCAGGGATGAGGCTGCAGGAGTGGGCAGGCCAAACCCAAAGAGCACTGTAAATCATGGCAAGGAAGGTGAGCTTCATCCAGAGCATGAGAAGTTGGCTGAAGTGTCGGGACTAGCTTGGCATGAACATGGTTTTTTGAGTGGGGGAGGCTGTGGATTAGAAATAGACGTGATAACAAAACATATAAAGACACACAAGTATAGAAAAGTGAGGATTGGGTGGGCACAACTTTGTAGAAGAGATACCAGAGTAGAAGAGATACAAGAGGAAAAGAAATACCAGAGGAAAAGAAATACCAGAGTAGAAGAGATACCAGAGAAAGAAAAGAAATACCAAAGTTAGGAAATATCAAAATAAAATTAGGAGATTATAGAATAAGAAAAGGAAGTGGAATGCAAAAAAAAAAAATAAGGGAGGAAAAATTAAGATACAAAGCCAGTTGTTTTTGGATGTAAATTGACTGAAGATGTGAAAATGACTGGCACCATATAATTTCTCTGATCCTTTTGGGGGATAATTTAGTAAACGCTTGTGACATTTTTTAGCCTGATACTGGGCAGTATCAAGGTATTGGGTATCAACAACAATAGGAAGACAACCATTGACAACAGGAGCCTCAAGGAACCATATCACACCTGATATTGAACACAGTTCAAAACTCTGTATCCCTAAGGAGAAAACGGTTCAAACTGGCACAGCTTCAAGTAACACAGAGCTCTGACAAATGCAAGGGAACTCAGTATGATGGGAGGATAGCAAATCTGTAACTGTGTACAGCCAATAAAAATCAAAAAAAAAGATCCATGTTTGTCCATCACAGCTGTTTCAAATGAAATTTAACGTGACTCCAATTTGACACACACTTGCAGGGCATGAGATTATGACACTGGGTAAACAACTAAACACAGTGCCGTCCGTGCCTTCAAGGAAGATGAGGTCTAGAGTAGACACAATTCATACCAGCAAACGCTGGGCCGGCTGGGTGGCACAGCGGTAAGAGGCAGTTTGGGTAATGCTGGCTCCATATGAGAGGTCACAGGTTCATTTCCCTGGGCCCACCTGTATACAAGGTCCAGGGAGGGCTCATGGCACGAGGCCCTGTTTGGGATGGTTGCCTTTCTCTCATCTCTCATTCTCATGAAAGAAAAACACTGAAGAAGCAAACACATCTTTACAAGGTGCTTTAGGAGCACAGAGCTGAGAACCACATCAGATCTGATGGATTGAGGCTAGGGGTGCAGCAGCCAGGGAAGACTCTGCAGAGTAACACTTATGTTGGAACCCAGAGTACAAAGTGAGAGTTATCAAACACAAAGGGCCTGGGTTGAGAGAGTTAAGATGGAAAGGGGAAGAGTAGAGGCTGAGGGCACAGCATATGCTCAGATTCATAGTGGGAGAGAACATGGCACTTGGTCGAAGTTCCATATGGCTGAGGTGCAGGGATGAGGCTGCAGGAGTGGGCAGGCCAAACCCAAAGAGCACTGTAAATCATGGCAAGGAAGGTGAGCTTCATCCAGAGCATGAGAAGTTGGCTGAAGTGTCGGGACTAGCTTGGCATGAACATGGTTTTTTGAGTGGGGAAGGCTGTGGATTAGAAATAGACGTGATAACAAAACATATAAAGACACACAAGTATAGAAAAGTGAGGATTGGGTGGGCACAACTTTGTAGAAGAGATACCAGAGTAGAAGAGATACAAGAGGAAAAGAAATACCAGAGGAAAAGAAATACCAGAGTAGAAGAGATACCAGAGAAAGAAAAGAAATACCAAAGTTAGGAAATATCAAAATAAAATTAGGAGATTATAGAATAAGAAAAGGAAGTGGAATGCAAAAAAAAAAAATAAGGGAGGAAAAATTAAGATACAAAGCCAGTTGTTTTTGGATGTAAATTGACTGAAGATGTGAAAATGACTGGCACCATATAATTTCTCTGATCCTTTTGGGGGATAATTTAGTAAACGCTTGTGACATTTTTTAGCCTGATACTGGGCAGTATCAAGGTATTGGGTATCAACAACAATAGGAAGACAACCATTGACAACAGGCAGGTACTGCTATCGTATGTAGATGCTTCTCAACAGGCTTGCTAGAGTAGCTTACAGAAGCGCATATTTGCATGTGTCTTTAGGCCACATGTTTTAATCACGTTTTCAGATTGGCTGCTCTCCACACTGAAGGTTTTTAACGGGCTGACATGTTCACTCTAGCTGCGGCTTGGGGAATGAGACAACAAGGAACAAGATGGTATGAGGATATGGGGCGGCACTGCAGATACCTAAGACAGAGCAGGGGCCCAGGGCAGGAGAGAAGTGATGATGTGAGAGTGGACAGAGAGGGGCATGGTGAAGAGATGTTTAGAAGCTTGCTGACTGGCTAGCAGAGGAAGGTCAGGGAATGGAGGCATCAGTGCCGCTAGCCAGACCCGAGCGCAGAAGGAAGAGAGTGCTCGGGTCTGGCATGCAGGAGACAGATCTTTTAGGCATAGCTGTACAGTGGTCAATGGAGCTGGGGAGAGGATGAAAGGGCTCTGAAGAGTATGTATAGCAAAAGGGATCTAGACCTTCAGAATCCTGAGAATACCAAGGAAAGCAAAGCCGCAGAGGGAGAAGACAACCAGGCCCGAGCTGTCAGCCACTGCAGCCTCGCAGAGAAGGGTCTTTAAGGAAAACAGCCCCAACAGTGTCCAGTCCTGCAGGGGCTGGGCAGAAGGACAGCAAAACACCTGCTCCATTTAGTAATGATGTGTTTGGGAAAAAGGCTGCCAGGAGAGGAAGGCATACAAAACATAGAAGTTATGAATTTACCTGAAACAGCTAGGGAAACTTTTATGTTGTGAGTTCCTCCTCTGTAATCCTGTCACACCAGACTTTACCCCTCCCTAAAGCACCCCAGACTTTACCCCCTCCCTATCACATACCTAGATAGGTAGGTATCTTTACCACATGTGGTAAAGAAGGCATCTAGGAGCATTCCAGAATAATCTGCCCCATCCTAATACACACTGCAGAAGGCGGTCCCTTCCCTCAGTACTTCAGAAGGGGCTTTGGCATAAGGCACTATCCTGCGAGGCCACTGATTCCTGCTCTTGCCATGGTGGACAATGCCCAGGCCCAGCTAGCTACAGTGAGACCAGACAGCCAGGAGGTGTCAGGCCACAAAAGCACCAAAGTGGCAGTGAGAGTTTATGGGAACCTGGTGACACAGACTGCATCTGGCCTCTGGTCCCTCCCACAACCCATTCCCAATCTCTCCAGAACTCCTACAGCCCCCACCTCTTACAGAAACACTCCCCAAAATCTGATATACAAATTTCTAGAACTGACAAGAAACTTGGGCGAATAATTTCTTAATTATTAAAACTAATTATGACCTAATTATGTTCATAATCCAAAACAGATTTACAATATATAAAGTTACAAACAACTTGCCTGTTAGTATAGATGGCACATTCCTTGTTGTTAATCTTCAAGCATTCACTGTATTTACTAAGGGCATCTTTATAGTTTTTATCCTTTACACACTGATTACCTTCTTCCTTAAGGGCTTTAAACATTTCTTCATCTGTGGAACCATAAATAAATAAATAAGAAGATCTACTCATCTAAGTACCTCTACAAAATCTTAAGTATAGCCCTATTACAAATTAACTTGACCATACACCATAGAGAGCTAATGTCTAAATGGAACAAAACTTTGTACATAAATAAAAAGATAAATTGACTACAAATGAAAATAATTATTTATTCATGATACTTATTTTCAAATTAGAAAATGAAATACAAGTGGGCTGGCCGCATGACCTAGAGGCTAAGGAGCCAGATCCCACAGGAGCTGATTGTGGTTTGAATCCCATTGCGGTGCCTTGGAAAACAGGCCAGGTGCATGTGTGTATAATGCCCCGAATCCTGACAGGATGGAGAAACAGAAACGGGACTGCAGCGTGAACACATGCTATTGGAGTGGAAGGGACTTTCTCTCTTTGGCAAGTTCATGTATTTTGTGGCAATTTTTAAAAAAAGAGAGAGACAAAAGGAATTACCTACTACATATTTACGTTGTGGGTGTTTATTATTTTAAACATAATCTTATTCCTTTAGCCTCATCATATACACTCTCTATTAGAGAGCTATCTACTACCTAATTCTTTTTCTTCTTTTTTATTTAATTTGCCAGAAGGTGCATGTACTCACTAGAAAGGCAGAGAGAGAGAGAGGAAGAAAGCACTCCTCAATGGGGCATGGTCACACTGCAATCTCTTCTACATTTCTGCATCCTACTGGGATTTTAGAAAGATACACACATATTCAGTGTGCTGATTTGAGTCTCTAAGGCCTGGATTCGAACTGTAGTTGCCCATGTGAAAGTCAGCTCCCTTAACCACCAGGCTGCAGGGCTGGTCTTCTTTTTCTTATTTTATTTATTTATTTATTTTATTTTCTAAAAGCTCTGTTTTTATTTACACAGAGTCCTAACCACTTCAACAGCAGGAGGAATGGAAGAGGTTCCTTTTACAATCCAGGGGCCTCTGTATGTTGGTTTGTTGTTACCACACAGGCAAGTGGCATCATGGATTTGGTAAACTAATGGCAATGTTCAGTCTCTCTCTGTTAGAGCAACAAGGTGGGCATCAATTTCTGCTTCTATAAAAATCCTGAATTTAGGATTTTCAACTGTAACTACTCCAATTTCTATTTCTGAAGGGTTGAAGTCAATTGACAGAACAGTAGACAGGCATGTAACTGCAGTTTCCACTGTCTGTTCAAACATCCAGTCAAATTTCTTCTTCACCTTTTTTTCAAGGAAACTGGTTGACTCAGTTCATTTAACTCCTGCAGCAGTGGCTTTAAGCCCACAGTAGTGACCTGCAGGATCACACTTGTACACCCGAGGCCCTTGTTCGTCATCTATACCGATTAAAATCATACAACAACCAAGAGGCCTCATTTCTGCATTGTGTGTGTAGACCTGAGAAATATCGGCACTTCTTTTACATAGCATGTCCACAGGAATCTCATAACTATACTTGTATTTCCAATTAGCTGTCTCATAGCGTGCCCTCTGTACCTGGGATCGACTGTCAGCTGTCAGCCCTGCCATCATACAGCCAATGTTCTCAGTTATCTTGAGTAAGTGAGTCACTGTGCTGGAATCCAATCATTTGTCAGGAACTTTTTTCTGTGTGACAATTACTGCACAGTCTTTCCCTCTCACAGCTACTGATGTAAGGCCACCCTGGTTAATAGCCCTGAAAGCATATTCTACTTGGTAGAGCCAGCCCTCGGGTGAAAAAATGGTAACATGGCTGTCAAAACCAACACTGGAACCACGAGATATGTTGGTGCACCCACTACTTCCAAGTACAATCTCTGAGTCCCGTAGCTCCCCTCTTATTATTATTATTAATAATGCTAACTTATCCTTTATTAAGAGGTTACTATAGGCTTACATGGTCAGCAAATATATCTCCATTTATTCCTGAGAACCACCTCATGAAATAGTTACTAACATTTCCTCCTTTCTTACATATTATAGGACATGGGAAGTGGGAAGCAACTTCCTGAGACCATATAGTTATAAGAGGAAGGACAGGGACATAACTTAAACCCAGGTCCAACCCCAGAGTTCATGTTATCTCTCTGCTTCACTGAGAAAATATATGCAGCTCAAGAAAATCTTTAGAAGAAATGAGTGTAGGTTTCCCACACCTGTGACGGCTGACTGGCAAGGACGTCTGCAATCTCCTCCACTGTCTGGAGTCGTCTCTGCTGCAGGACGCCAGACCTGCAGTGGTGTGGAAGTGGGCACAGCGGGAATAGGTGACAGCTTTTCCCGCCAATTTGGTCCATCCAGCTCCATCAAAATTCTTGTTATTCTAAAGAGAAAATGAGTTTTCTCTGTTGATCATGAAATTCGCTTTTTCTATCACTGAAGGTCAAATTAAGAGTAAGATTTATAAAAGTTACACATATACAAAAGTTATATGTGGAAAACACACATTCTGGAATGATTTTCTTTTTTCTTTTCAAGAGGTTTTTGCAATAGGACATGTATGTACTTGCTGGAGAGAGAGAAACAGTAAGAGAGAATGTGAGAAATCACCTCCCCGGGGAAAGGCCACACCTTCATTCCTTCTCCTCCATTTCCTTCCTGGGATTTTGAGCACGCACACACACACGTGCCTGGTGTGACTTTCAAGCCACCAGGTCCAGGACTTGAACTGTGGTCGGCCAAGTGGGAGTCCAGCACCATAACCACTGCACCATCTGCTAGTCCCTGTCAAATGATCTTCTGTCCACAAAAATGAAAATGTTTTCAGGAGGACTTTTAGAAACTGCCTTAAACAATGAAACTTTAGGCCATTTATTAATAAAAAGGAAAATTAAGACATTTCTATTGGCGTCAGTAGGTGGTGCGGTGGTTGGGATGCTGGACTCCCACATGGCCGACCACAGTTTGAGTCCTGGACCTGGCGTCTTGCTTTCTCATGTTCCCTCTCAGTTTCTCTCTGTGTGTCTCTCTGATCGAACTAAATAATAACTATAATAAATAAAATTAAATAAATAATTCTTTTAAAAAAGACATTTCTGTTCAAATATTTTAATGTACTAATACACAATAACATTTAATTTAATTTTTGAAGAAATGAAAGATAAAATTGAGACAGTTCAGAAGAAATTCCCCCCCAATATTTCATACAATTACTGAAATGATAATGTATTTCTCTTGAGGATAATCTTAAGTACTTCTGAATTTCTGTGCCCAAACTGTATATTAAAGTTGAGAACAGGTGTATAAGGTTGGCTGCTAAAACTGATGTGGGCTAGCTGTCATGAAGAATATTCTTTTTCTTAAAAATATTTGTATGTAGTTAAGATACTCTTTCTTACTTTGTGCTTTTCCATCTCTTAAATTATTCACTTATTTTCTCTTGATATGAACAAAGATGAAAAATTAGGGTACTGGAGCCTACTACAAGGCCTTTCTACAGATGACATTTACTAATGGCCATTATAAAATTCAGATTAACATCCTCAATTATCACCTTATTTTAAACACATACAATGTCATACTTGCATTTAAAAACAAAATTGAATTATGGTTCTGGGATTAATCTGCTTAAGAAAAGTTCCTTAAGACTGAGAAGGTTTAGTGGTGGATACAAGAATGCATTCAAGGGACCAGCCGTTAGCATAATGGCTATGTGCTGAACTCCCATGTAGTCGACCATAGTTCCAGTCCCGGACCCGGTGGCTTGAGCTCGCGCCAGGCGTGTGAGCCCAGGATCCCAAGTGGAGAATGGAGGAGAAGGGACTGTGGGGTGGCCATCCCCCCTGGGGGGTGGTTTCTTGCTTTCTGTCTCTCTGTCTCTCTCTTTCTGGTGAGCACACGCACTCTATAGCAAAAAAAAAAAAAAAAAAAAAACCTCTCTAAAAAAAAAAAAAGAATGCATTCAAGTTAGTTAACTTAGTAGTCTTCATGTAATTTATGTGTGGAACATTTTTATATGTACCTACAAGTATAATACACACATTTTCCCAAAGCTTCTTAAACTGAAATTTCCATACCCACTTTTGGTTTTGATAACTCTCATGTTTTAATGTAAAAAAGGAAATTTGAAAATTAATGTATAACCAGCCAAACTACAGAAGAAAAAGAAGCTATAGAAAAAAGAATTTTCAAGCAAAACTTGTATTACCAGCAGAGAGGAAGGAAGAAGCGGCTGAAAAGAGATGATGTGTGGCCAAGGAGTAAATATGAATATGCAGGGAAATGTAACATGTAAGGTTCCTGGAGAGGAAGAGAGGAATATGGTTAACGGAAGACACAAACCAAATACGAACAGACGTTTAAATTAAAAAAGAAATAATAAGCTGCTGCTGCTTAAATTTCCATAATGAACTGGAATAGACTGGAAAGCAAGCATAAATGTGGGATTCAAAAAAGGAATAGTGGGACTAGGTGATGTGATGGTTAAAAGTGCTGGATTCCCACATGGCTGACTGAGTTCAAGTCCTGGACCTGGCGGCTTTCTCTTTCTCTCCCTCCCTCTCTCCCTCCCTCCCTCTCTAGTCAAATTAAAATAAAAACAAAAACAAAAACAAACAAACAAAAAAAAACAGGGAACCAGCAGTTAGCATAATGGCTGTCGCTAGACTCCCACGTAGTCAACCGAGGTTCGTGTCCTGGACCCGGTGGCTTAAAACTCACACCGGGCGCGTGTGCATGCGTGCCCAAGATCCCGAGAGGAGAATGGAGGAGAAGGGATTGCGGCGTGACCACCCCCCCTGGGGGGTGATTTCTCGCTTTCTGTCTCTATGTCTCTCTCTGTCTGTCTGGCGAGCGCACGCGCCCTACAGCGAGAAACCTCTCCAAAAAGAAAAAAAAAAAAAAAACAAATAAAGTTAAATAAAATAATTCTTTTAAAAAAGGAATAGTGACATTTTTAAATGAATATTTTTAAAAATGGCAAAACCAAAGTCTCATCTTAAAAAATATCAACAAAACCCATTCAATTAAAAAACATCACTGAGTCTTAAAATTCAACTGGTATAAAGGAACTTTCTTGGGGACATATAAATAATATAACACTATTTTCAAAGTTAAAACACAGAATTAACATAACAACCCAGCAATTCCACTTCTAGGTATATACCAAGAGGAACTGATAATAGCTATGCAAACAAAGGATGTTCACAGCAGCTAGTCACAACAGCCAAAAGGTAGAAACAATCCCATGTCCATCAACAGGTGAACAGATAAACAAGATGTGACGTATACATACATACACAATGCACCAGAACAAAATGAAGACTGAAACATGCTATGCCATGGATGAAAACTTGATGCTAAGTGACAGAAGTCAAACACAAAAGGTCAAACATTCTATGATTCTTTCCAGATGAAATACCCAGAATTGAAAACCCAGAGAGACAGAAAGTAAGCTAGTGGCTGCCAGGGTGGGAGAATTGGGAAAATGGTCAGTGGATACTGGGTATCCTTTCGGAAAGTGATAAAAATGTTTTGGAACTAGAAAGAAGTGAGTGTAGTATTTTCCACTGAACTGTACACTTGAAAGTAGTTAGTTCTGGGGCCGGCAGGTGGCATGGTGGTTAAAGGCACTGGACTCCAACATGGCTGACCATGGTTCAAGTCCTAAACCTGGTGCCTGCTTTCTCACTTTCCCTCTCTCTCTCTCTAATCAAACTGGAAAATAATAATAAATAAATAAAGTTAAATAAAATAATTCTAAAAAAAAGAAAGTAGTTAGTTTTGTGTTAAGTACCTTTTACCTAATTTTTTTTTTAAAAGCATAATGTATGAGCCAGTCAGTGGCATGATGGGTAAAGTTCTGGATCCCACATGGCCGATCTGGGCTCAAGTCCCAGACCAGCATCCTGAAAAACATCCTGGGCACCTATGCATACATAGCAGTTTTCACTTTGGATCTTGTTCCAAAGTTAGGGCTGGCTACTGACACCTGTGAAATCACCTTCCCAACAGATATTTATTAAAGGACTGCAGCACTACAGCATGACCACGTCCCTCCGCCCCCTCTGGCAAGTACACACACACATCTCTAGTGAACAGTAGTAAATACAGCGAGAGAGAAAAATATAGCGATGTTAGACGACAACTCAAAATGTATATTACGGAAGAGTTAGAAACAAAGTTATAGAGAAAGAACAATTTGGTTTTACTGGGGTGAAAGAAAACAATCATTCACATAAACTCAATTGATGACACATCTACATTTTGACACCATTCTTGAAGGAGGGCAAGGCAAAAATAAGTCTAATTCTGTTGTAAAACAACTAGACCATGGGTAGCTGCCTCAGATTACGTTACCTGTGAATACTGTCATTTGCCAGCTGGATTCCACAGTCTATCTGCAACACTGTTTTATAATCCACGTATGCTTTCCCGTACCGCTCTAAAGTTTCGTAGGCCATGGCTCGTCGCAGAAGAGGTTTCATTGAGAATGGGTGAAGTTCCAGAGCCCTGACGGAGACAAAAATCTTACGTAGCATTTGTTTTGGAAACGCCTCTTCGATTTGTACTTAGCTGACTATACTAATTTATATTTAACTGAATACGTACTGTAGTACTGGACTCTCAAACATGTGCTTATCTGATATTTCAGTTTGGGAACCTGACAACATACCAGATGGCAAATCCTGAAGAGCAGACAACCAATTCTGGTTACTTTCTTTTAAGCAAACACCAAAGCACCCTGACAGTCCCTTCCCACCGAGTATCAATGCCCTGGCAGCGTGCCTCCCCCATTCCCTAACAGAACCCAGCAAGGCACCAGGCACTGTGCAGAGTTTCAACAGACTCTTGCTGTTAACAGATTAAAAAGAAAATTCCTGCTTGTACCTATGGGCACTGTAGTAAAAAATCGCAAAAATTTACATTACATTTTGAAAACTACCTTCCTAAAACTAGCTACAGTTTATTATAATGTACTTGCTACAAAGGGGCTTCAAAAATAAAGATGGGAATAGAAGAGCTAAACATAAACAATTTTTCCTAAGTCATCAATTTTCATCATGCACTAAAGATGTATTTCAAGATTGTAATTTTTTTTTTCTTTTAAGGTTTTTGCCATGGGATGCATGCGCTTGCAAGAGAGAGCAGTGAGAAGGAAAGTGAGAAATCACCCTCTGGTGGGGGCAGCCATACCAAAATCCCTTCTCCTCCATTTTCCTCCTGGGACTCTGGGCACACATGCAGATGTGCTGAGTGATTTTCAAGCTGCCAGGTCCGGGACTCGAACCACAGTCAGTCATATTGGAATCTAGCGCCTTAACCATCACGCCACCTTGCAGCCTCCAAGGTTGTATTCTTTAGTTTTGTTTAAAGTTACTTCAGTACTTAACGTACTCCATTATATCCTGAAATAAGACATACAACCCAAGCCTGTACTCATGAATGAAAACTATTTTAGTCTTGGTTTAAACAAAATCCACTGAAGCTATAAAGACGACCTCCATGCAGAGACCCTCTACCAACCAGCATCTGCACCAGACTGTCCACACTGGTGATTGAAGATTTGTTCTTTTTGTTACTCTTGTGCACATTCAGCTTCCTCAGGGAAGGCTTGAGTGAGGGCTGCTTGGTTTAACTTGTTTTTTCCCCCTAAGTCTTAAAACTCTGCTTTAATTCCTGCCTATGATTTGGCAAGGAAGAAGCACTGATAGAGTTATCTGCTATATGCTAGTAGTTACTGCAAATTTTCTTATCTAATCTCATCACAAACCTTTAAGATAAATATTAACATTGTGGGGCCAGTCCCATAGCCTAGTGATTATGGGTGCCAGATTCCAAAGGACCAACTGCAGTTCAAATCCCAGCCCCAGTGTTTAAAAAAACAAGGCGTGTATACATGCATGCCCAAAATCCTCGCAGGAGGGAGAAATGGAGGAGACGAGATTGTGGCATAGCCATACCTGTTTCTCTATCTCCTGTCAGACAGGCACACGGACCCTCTGGCAATGAAAGACATTGATACTGTGTGTCTGTTATGTAAGAAATTTGGACAAGGGGTGCCATGTGCTCAGTGTCAGTTCCCTTGACTGTAACTTCATCAGGCAAGTCCACTGATGTCCTGAGGCTGCTGCACTTCCCATCCGAGGTCAACGCCCAGGCCACCAGAAGCACTCAGCAAACACCTCCTGCGTGAGCTCTCAGCCCACTCTCTGACCACAAACAGCACAAAAACGCTGCTAAAGAAGGAACTGAGTCATCTGCCTCTCAGACTGATCCCCAGGCTCCACGTCACGGAGACACTCCAGTGCCCATGTGGGGCTTGCCTACACCTGGAAGTTCTTTTCTTCTACAAATGCTGGTGAGCCTCAGTAGCTTCATTTCTCTGAAAAAAAGTTTTGCTCTATCTAGGCATTAGGATTGTGAGTGATTTTAATGACCATCATTGTACTGTGTTTTTGAAGTGTTCTACAGTAGGTATGTGTAAGGTAATCAGTAAAGGTTATTTCCAAAATAAAATTTAAATAGGGTCGGCCCTGGGACCTTATAGACATTGAATCCCACCCGGCCAACTGTGTAGTTTGAGCCCCAGAAAAACACACCAGGTAAGTGTGCATGCATGTCCCAAATCCCCAAAGGATGGGGAGATGAAGGAGAAGGGATTATGGTATGACCACAACCCATTGGAGGGGAGGGGACTTTGACTCTCTCCCTCTGTGTTTGTCTATCTCCTTGACGAGCATACATGCTGACAAAAGAAAAAACTTTTTTAATTCATCAAAAATACTTAAATACTATAGACAATAGATCCCTCACCATCAGAACCTGTCACTGGTACCATGCCTTAAATCAAGCTTAGCTTAATGCTTAAGGGACACCGACTGCATATGGACACAGGTTATAATGCATCCCTCACAACCATGGGACCAACTCCATTTCTCAGCAGACTCCAAGGTTCAAGATTTATCTAACCAAGATGGCCAGAAACAAGTTTAGGATTAAAATCAATGAGATCATGCATTTCATTTTTAGTATTTTCTAGCCTAATAATTGCAAGAGTTTTTTTTTCTTTTTCCTCCTTTAACCAAAATCCTGATCATGAATATGAGCTTATGAATGGAAATTCCATTGAGGAGGAAAAAAAGCACTGATTCACAAACACGCAAAGAACTTTTAAACCAGAGCTTACAAAAGAGGCTGTCTGTCCAAGGTAACACAGTTAAGACCCTAAAAAGTTTTCTAATTTCAAGTCTTTCGTTAGCAAAGATAAGCAAAGGCAGGGAACTATAAGCAATTATAAGCAAAAGAGGCAACACTGATTTGTATTTGGCCTGTCAAAATATCATCAATGAAAAATCACCGTAAGATTTTTGGTGTGGTTTTAGATAAAAGGTCCTTTGACAGATGGAAAAAAGGAAGATTTATTTTTTAACCTGACAATTAGGAGTATAAAAAGTCATTTCTAGGGGCTAGCAGGCGGTGTGGTAGTTAAGGTGCTGGATCCCACATGGCTGATCACAGTTCGAGTCTCAGACTTGGCCACCTGAAATCACACCAGGCACATGTACATTCGTACCCAAATCCCGAGAAGAGAATGGAGAAGGGATTGAGCATGGCGATCTCCCCCAGGGGGCTGATTTTATACTTTCCCGCTCATGGTTTCTGTCTGTCTCTGTCCAGCAAGTGTATGTACCCTATGGCAAAAAACTTAATAATAATAAAAAAAAGTAATTTCTAAAAAACAATCATTTTTAAACATTTGCCTAGGCATCAGAGTCACTTTACGTTTCACTCGGAAGTCTAAAATAGCAACATGAGAAGATGATACAGTGAGGAGAGGGGTGGGCTTGGAACCCCCAAGCGTCTCAAACATCCCTGCACTCCAACAGCCACTGTCCAAATATACTCCTGTGAAACACGGATACTCCTCAGAGTTTAGATATTTAAAACCAAATGGCAGTTTTTCCCCAAAATAAAATAAAAAGTTTTCATAGCTAAAATTTTTCCCCTTTCTTTATTTTACGTTTTGCTCCATGAGTTTTTCTTTTTCAATGTTTGACCACTGATTTCAGTATCTGGTAATAAGAGTTTATAGACTGGGGCCAGCAGGTGACATGGTGGTTGGGGTGCTGGACTCCCACGTGGCTGACCCTAATTCGAGTCCCAGATCTGGTGGTTTGCTTCCTCACTTCCCCTTTCTCTGTCTCTGGTAAACACACATACCCTATAGCAAATTAGAAAATAATAATGATAATAAATTAAATTTTAAAATGTTTTTAATAATTAAAAAAAAAAGATTATGGACCTCTTCAAAGAGCAAATACCATTAATGAGAACACCATAAAATAAGCTTCCTTTAAAATGTATTCAATCCTGGGACCAGCAGATGGCATAATGGTTATGTTGCTGGGTTCCCATGTAGTCAACTGTGGTTTGATTCCCAGACCTGGTGGGCCTAAAACTCATGCCAGGCATGTAGGAACTGCGGCATAGCCATCCCCCCCTGGGGGGTTCTTTCTTACTTTCTGTCTCTGTCTCTCTGGAAAGCATACACACCCTATAGCAAAAATTTCTCTAAAAAAAAGAAAAAAAATTTATCCAATCTTTTGGAAGTGAGAAAATATAGTCATATTTCCAGCTAATAAATTATTCCTTGTTCATACAGATTTAAATACATCCATATTTCAAAATGTTATAAACAAATCATGACTTCCCTGGCATTAAACAAGCTTGAGAATAACTGCTTTGGAGTAAAAGCATCCCCTAGTGGGCATCATCTCCATGCCCCTTAAGTTGGGACACCTATGACAGCTATCGAACATCTAAGTAGGGCAGTCTCTATGGAGGTCACTGGCCAGCTGGCCCTGGAACATAGTTCCTGGCTAAAGACACCCTACCTAAGTCGACACGAACCTCCCTCTTTGGCAGGCCACCTCCTACTCTCCCCAATGACACACCCCAATGCTTGCCTCCTTGGCCACCATAGCAAGAGTCCCATTTTGTACTTCCTACTGGGTCTACGCTGAAACATAGCAAAAGTTAGCCAGTAAATGTCTACCTCCTTACCATGGACAAAGGGAATCCACTGTGTTGTGGCAGCCCTAATTTTATGGGTCATAAGTTTAAATTCAGTCCTGACCTTGCTCACTGTAGGAAGGGTAATATATTAGAAATAGATGCTTGAGGCTAGCAGGTGGCATGGTGGTTAAGGTGCTGGACTCCCACATGGCTAACCACGGTTCCAGTCCTAGACCTGGCAGCGTGCTTCCTCACTTTTCCCCTCTCTTTCTTTTTCTCTGGTGAGCACATATGCCCTATAGCAAATTAAAATAATAATAATAATAGTAAACTTAATTCTTTTAAAAAATAAAAGAAACAGGCATTTAAGCTGGAAAGATGTTCACTGCAAACCACAAGGGGCCTGGTATTCACCAAACGCACATGGTCTCGATGGTTATCAGTAGTGATAAATGTTTAATAGCTGGCTCTATGGGAAAAGCAAAAAGGAAAAAAGACCAAATTTGTGGTGTTTATCAGTTGTCATAGTGTTAATACTCACACCATGGCAAACTTCAAGATATTAACTTTATTTCAACCAGGTCACAAAATCCTAAACCGAACAATTAGCTTATTGTTCCAGCACAACTGGGTCTAGAGTCAGATCAAAAAGAATACAAACTGAGACCAGCAGTTGGCGTAACAGCTATGTTGCTGAACTCCCATGTAGTCGACTGTGGTTCAATTCCCAGACCTGGTGGTGTAAACTCACTCCAGGCACATGGGCGTGCGTGCCCAAGATCCCAAGAGGAGAATGGAGAAGAAGGGGTTTCGGCATATCAGGCCATCCCCCTGGGGAGTGATTTCTCGCTTTCTGTCTCTCTGTCTCTTTCTTTCTGGCAAGTGCACTCGCCCTATAGCAAAAACTCTCAAAAAATAAATAAATAAAAGAATACAAATGTAATTTATTTTAAATCTGAATATGTAAAATTGGCAAAAAAAAAAAAAGTGCCTCAAAGTCACCTTTTTAAACTATAGACACAAGGCCAGCAGGTGGCGTGGTGGTTAGGGTGCTAGACTCCCACATGGCCAGCCATGGTTCAAGTCCCAGACCTGGAGGCTTGCTTTCTCATTTTCCCTCTCTCTGTCTCTCTTTCTCTGGTGAATGCATGTGCCCTATACCAAAAATAATAACAACAAATAAAATTAAGTAAATAACTTTAAAAAAAACCTGTAAGCACAGAGACCAGCAAGCTTTACCCATGTCAATAAACCAATACTGCCAACAAAAAAAAACAATAAGCTGTTCACCTTATAAGCACTGTCCACATAATTTATTGTCCAAACTAGGGGTTCTGAGCATGAAAGGGGGTGATATTAATACTTATACGAGACAACAGAAGTAAAGTGAGACTATGCTAGCCAAATCAAGACATGACTTCATTTTTAGAGGCACTGATAGTACCTTCTTGCCAAAGGGCTTTGAAGCAGACTAATCACATAATACTCAAAGAAAACAAGATGTCTTATTCATGTAAATTTATTCCTGAGTGTCCTGGGTAACTGCTGTGCTGTGCGGGTTACAAAGCTGTATAACACAATGTTATTGCTTAAGGAATTTAAACACACTCAATGGATGACGGACTCCAGGTAAGCCCAAATGTCAGGACAGGTGCTACATACTGTGATGGCCAGGGAGCGTTGGGTGGCCAGGGGGCAAAGAGGAGGGGCACTGAGTGGGGATTTCAGACACAAAGATGTGCAGAGGGCATCACCAACAGCAGGGACAGGTGGACAGAGGCTCAGAGAACAGGGAGAGCCTGAGTAAGGAAGTGGTCTAGAGGGCCACATGGGAGCAAGAAAGCTCATTTTGTGGGCAATGTGGTGCCAGAAGAGCTTCTATTATCTGGAAGATAGAATGAAAGGCTTGTTGAGAACCATTTGAACAAAATAATGCGTTGGGAAAAGTTATTTTGATGCCACAGTGGATAGAAGGAGATGAAAAGAAAACCAGTTCTTAGGCTTCTCCTTAGTCTAGCAGTGATATGAAAAGAGGATGGATGTGGATGTAGCAGTGGAAACAAGGAACCTTTACACTACCTCCTATGACTATCCTTGTACGTGCGTGAGTGGACAATATTAATCCATTAACATCCCTTTAAAAGTGTCTTAAGAAATTAGACCCTGATGCAGAAAATGTGGGAGGATAGTAAATATTGCATTCATCACACTGAAAGGACAACAATCTCTGGACAAACCTGTGACATGCAGTTTACCTGTTACAATCTTGAATGCAGCCACTGCAGTTTCCTTCTTTTAGGTAACATGCTGCTCTATTTGAATATAAGATACTTAGATCATCTGCACTTTCACTTCCTAAAATCACATTTAAATACAGTTAAAATCCATTAGCAAAATCACAGTTCATCAGAATCAGAAGACGACCGAGATCTCCAATGGCACCGCAGCTCTGCAGTGCACAGCTGACCATGCAGAAGTCCGAGAAGCTGCCGGGCCGCACAGCGACCACGGAGGGGAAGCCCGGCAGGGACAGATGCAAACCTGCCTGGCCGGCCGGATACATGCTCTGCATTCCAAGGTATTGCCCACATAGGTCAAGTCACAGGGCTCCCTGGGTCACCAGGAAGGAATGCACCTAGCTAGGCAAGTGCCTCCAATCAGGAGGTGGCCTGCGCCGCTCCAGGGTGGTGGTGAAGGGGGACCGTAGGTTGGGAGGGGAGGGTCGCAGCCCACCTTGGCCGGGCAAGTCGCGCAGGGTAAGGGAGGGGAGGGGCCGGGCTCGCCTACCTGCAGACTCCAGCTGCGCGATCGCCTCCGAATACCGGCGGGCCGCCTCGGCGAACTGCCCGCTTCTGAACAGCTCGTTGCCCTGGCTCTTCAGGCCAGCGGGGCCCACCGGGGCGGCGGACGGCGGCGCGCCGGGCCCCGGGGACGCGTCG